TTGATCCTTCCTTTATAGATATATGTACACGTGGCCAAGTCTGCAGTTATCGATATTCTGCAACTTTAATTAATCTTGTCTCGTAGAAGGAAGTTCTATATTAATGCTGAGCTGATTCAGGTCGACTTAGACGTCGGACCAGTTCCTATCGATTGGGCCAATTAAATACGGTCTAGCTGGCAAACAGCGCCGCCAGTTTAATTCCGACGACGTCGGTGACAAATATACACGGTTATAAGCCGCTCATTAATAGTTGCAAATGTTACGTATAACTTGAAATACACCGAAATAATCACTGCTTACTTTGTTTTGCGAGTGAGAACAATTATTGCGGATATAAAATGCTGCTTTACAAATAAATTCCTACAGCGAGTAAAATTATAATGGATTCGATAAAATTACGTGGTCTTTCGTAATTGATACGACATATTACATATTCCTCTCGTTTAATTATATTTAATTAAATCCCCAATGGAAAACTATTATGGTATTTCCAATGGCAGGTACGCATAAAAGAAAAATTATGTTTATTATTTTTTAAAAGTCAATGGAGAAAATTGCCTTTTTAACCCGAGTTTTAATATTAATCTTAGGAATATGTAGAATGAATACGCGAAGTTTGTATTAGAAAGAAAATATTTTATAGCAAAAGGTAAATGTACACAAGTATCTCTGGCTTTCGCTAAGCTTTCTTGTTAATGATTTCATTCAAGTTAAATGTTGAACACAAGTTTCTTCGTAACTAAATCGATCTTTAAGTTTTTCTTCAATTCCCCTATTTTCTGCACGCTACATTTCCTGTGACTAGATGTAAATTAGCTTTAAAACACTAAATATTTTGTCATTAAAACTTACTGTCATCTATATATCTTTTTATAGTATTCTCGTCGAACAGACTTTTCGTTACTTTTACGAGACAATATTTAAATTAGAAAACATTAGAGCATCTGCGAGATATTATATTAGTCATGTGCAAAATTTGATCGTTCAATTTTCGTAGAACAGAAATGCCTTGCTTTTAGAAACGACCCAACAAAGGGTGAACGTGCTTCGAGCAACTCAGGGTCTTATGAAAAGAACGGAGTTCGCGCAGAATTAGCTCCCGTTTAGTTGGCCTCGAGCGTCATACACAATAGGCTAAAGGTTATAAATGTTCGCAACTGATCGTTCGCAACTGAAATGTAGCTCCAGCAGCTCTTTCAATATAGCGCGATGTGATGTATGAGTTCGTATTTTCCGGTCGGGTACGATGCCATCTTCAAGCCCCCAAGTCGCAGTTTAAGACGTTATTGCCGCGGCGAAGCAGCCCGTTAAGAAGGGCCCCGTCTCTCCGTGGCTCGCCGCCGTTAACGACGTCGTTACGCGTACATCCACGGTCTCACCTTCCAGCATCTACATTCGTATGGGAGATGGGCGGCGCGTAAATGTACATATGCGCACGTGCTGCTGCGGCGGACGCGTAAACGCGTGGCGGAACGAGCTTTTCACTGTTGCCCGAGACATCTGGTGACCACTGAAATTACGGCCTCCACTCGATCGGCGTTTCCGCTTCATCAACGATCGTAAATCAGGATTAAAAGATCGTCGCGAGTCAAAGTAAATCACGTAGCTCCGGATTCTTCGAAGGGTTACCCGGCAGTTCCCTAAGAATGCTTTCCATCGCCTTTTCTGGCGCGTCAGTGCCAGGTTCAGACCCTTAATTCGTCGTGATCGATTTGAAATATAAATGTGTTGAAATATATATATATATATATATATATATATATATATATATATATATAT